CTGAGCGTGGTGGTGCATACCTTTAATCCCAGCACTCAGGAGGCTGAGGCAGGGGTATCGCTGTGAGTTTGAGACCAGCCTGAGCTTCATAGTGAGTTCCAGGTCAGTCTCAACTACATAGTGAGACTCTGTCTCAAAAAAAAAAAAAGACACTGGATATAAATATGTACACGTACAAAGCCAGACATGATCGTGCCTATAATCTCAGCACTCACATGTTGGAATGCCCATGTTTTCAGTCTTGCTTTTGCTTGTAGAGATACGGATTTGAGGGAGCTCAGCCTGGCTACAAAGTGAGTTAAAGGCCAGCCTGGAAAGCATACAAGACCCTGTCTCTAAAAGAAACTAATAAACAAACATGCAAAAGAAAAGAACACCTTCAGCTCTTCTCGTGAATAAATTTGTGTGTGTGTGTGTGTCTCTCTCTCTCACTATCTCTCTCTCACACACACACATACACACACACACACAAGTCTGTCAATGGGAAAAAGGGGCTGCACCCACTTAGAAGTCAATACTCAGTAAAGCACACCTGATACCCTTCCCTTAAGGATCATTCCTGGAAGGATGTACCACAAATTATAAAGCTAGCAAAAGATATTTTTCATCTCTGAAGATTTTGAAAGTTTAACATCACAGTCAGAGATTATAACACTACTTTGTATCCCATCACTATATACAATTAAAAGTTTAAGTGCCAGGGATTTAGCTCAGTGGTTCCACCACCTGCCTCACAAGCACAAGGGCCTGAATTTGATCCCTGGTACCAAAAAAAAGGTTTAAAATAAAATAATTTTTAAAGAAAGCTTAAGTAGCCACAGATGAAATTGCAAAGGAAAAGACTGATAAAATTTACTTTCTAAAAATAAAAAAAAAATTTTTTTTTTTGAGACAGGGTCTTGCTATGGAGCTAAGGCTGGCCTCAAACTCTTGGTGATCCTCCTGAGTGCTGGGATTACAGGCATGTGCCACCATGCTCAGCTCCAAACAGCTTTTCTTTGCTTTTTTTTTACAGTATTAGATACTGAACCTGAAGCCTTCATACCGAGCTACATTATTTTTTATTCTGAAACAGGATCTTGCTAAATTATCCAAGCTGCGCTGGAATTGGAGTACTGCGGTTACAGGCACTCCTCTACACTTGGCTAGACTCATCTTCTTCACACTGACTGAGCTAGCACAACTAAGTTTGTAAAATGACCCAGGCAACCTGATAGTATCAGGCAAATGAAAAAGACTCTTTTGAAGCTTTTTCTGACATGAAAGAAAGGCAGAGAGGGCAAAAATAGAAAAGACCAAATAACCAAGGCAAAAGGACATAGCAAAAAGTGGCTCTTCTCCACCTTGTTCAATTAATGTAGCTTTCTAACACACCCAAGTGCACTTCAGCTGAACAGCAGCTCCACACACAAGACACTTCTTAAGGCAGAGTTGAGACTCTGAAGTTCTGTGATTTACTCTGAGACAAAGGCATCCTGATGCCCCACTTACTTCAACAGACACCATGTTCACCTGTGGGTCTCAATCTGACAGTTCATAAATCAAGCTAAATCAGGAAGAGCTATTTTCCTGTACCTCTTAGGGGAAAAGAAAATAGAAAAAATTACTAACTCGCTCTGAGAAGTCAGAGTCAAAGACCAGCGAGAAGGAATACAGTACCTAAAAACATACCAGAAACACAAATGAACTAAATATGCAAGGTGGAAAATCCTGAAATTATTCTCTAGAAATTTTGAGAATATTCCCAATTAAGGCGGCTGTGCGGTGGCCACCCTAATACCTCTTCTGCAAGCCCCAGTATCCATGTCTCTCTGTGTTCTTCTTACTCCCTACGGCAGTGATGGCGAACCTTTGAGTTTTCAGTGATAACAAACAGCCCACTATGGCACAAATGCTACAGGTCTGCCACCACTGCCCTAGCGCTCCAAGTAGTCCTGCATGGGTGTTTCACGATTTAATGAGATCACCAGGTAACAGGTCACTTACAAGGCTTCAATATTTTCCACAGTGATATTAAAATATTTTACAACCATATGGAAATATAAAGCAACATATATACATATATATACATATATATGTGTATATGTGTGTGTGTGTGTGTATATATATGTATATCAGTACAACAAAAATTTTTAAATAATTCTTTTATCCTCTCAACTACATACCACCAAAACTGCTTACCAAGTGGTAAAAATTCCAAGAAACCACTCACAAAGTTTCCAAATAAATCATTTACTGATTTTCAGAAATTATGGAGTGATATGTTGGATATCACTGTCACTAGCTAAGAGATGCTCTTGTCTGAGTCATGATTTGCCTTAGCAATCTATAAACTTTCTATCAACTTATCCATGAAACTGACAGCTGTCCCTGATGCTAACACTCTACTGCAGCCACAAGAGCAGCTGAATGCTGCCCACCACAGCCACCCACTCACAGCACACCCTGCCACTAGCTCCTCTCATGTGGCCTGGGTCTGGACAACCTGAACTTTGCCTCCTAATGACATCCTGCCCCTAGCACTGGAGCAGCAACAAGGTGCTCCCTTATCTCCAGTCCCCCTGCCGCCAAACCTTCTCTGCTTCCCCCAAAGGCTGCCCACACCCACTCCAGCATTGCTCCATTGATGACCGCCAAAAGATCCCAAGCTGCTGGTATTCAAATCCTTCATTTAGTCTGTTTTGCGTTGCTATACAGAATACCACAGACTGGTCAGCTTACAAAGAAATGTGTTCCTCATACTTCTGGAGACCATGAGGTCCAATACCAAGGTGGCAGTGTCTAGTGAGGTCCTTCTCCCTACATCACTCCCAGTGGGAGGTGGGAGGCAAGGGCTGAGCACACACAGATGTACACAGGTGCACATGAGGATGAGACAGACAGGAACAGAGAGGAGAGGGAGAATGGGCACAACTAACTGGATTCACAGCCTCAAGTCCTTCTATAATCAACATTAAGCCATTCCTGAGGGGTTATACCTTCATTACGTAAACTTTCAATTAGTATCCAGCTCCCTGCACCGTTTCATCAGAGTGCTCAATGAGACCACAAGAACAGTATGTCACTTGGGACGAGGTAATAAAAGATACTAAGGCTTCTAACCTGGGCTCTCTCTCTCCTTTTCTATCTCTCTCAGATTACCTGCTGCAGAGGAAGCAGAGGTTCAGGTGTCAAAGAATCAGTGCCTGCCAGTAAGCATTAAGTGAGCTTGAAAGCAGTTCTGCAGGCCCAAAAGCCTACCAGATGCCTGAAGATCCAGTTAACATTTTGATTAGTTCTACCAGAGACCCAGTGGCAAAACTATTCCCCTTGAGTTTCTCCTGGATTCCTAAAGCACAGAAACTATGAGATGATGAGCACTTGTTTTAAACCAGTAGGTTTTAGGGTTTGTTACACAGCAACAGACAACCAATACATTTAGAAAGGAAGATACCAGTCCAGGACTTACAGTAGGAAATTCTGGATTCAAGCCTAGGCAGTGATACTAAATAATAGAACCACCCTGGACAAAGGGCATAATCCGCTAAGCCTCAGTTTCCTTACTTAAAAATGAGAAAATTGGAACTATCATGGTCAGCACTACAAAGTAAATAGCATATTCAAAAGTAGAGCATAAAAGAATTGAGCTAGAAATAAAATCTACAGCAAAAACAAATCTGCTCCCTAAGATGCCAAGTTTCAGAGACTCCATCTAAAACAAGTAGAACATTCATCTGCTAAGTGTTATAAAAAGCAGCACCACTGAGGGCTGGGGATTTAGCTCAGTGGCACTATGCCTGTCTCACAAGTGCAAGGTCCTGAGTTCAAGCCCCAGTACTGGGGGAAAAAAAAAATAGCACCACTGTTCTTTGAATTAAGGATCAGACTTATTCCTAAGCACCCAAAGACAAAAAGACAAAAATGTAAACTGTAGCCTACTTAAAAGTAAAATGTACAGGCCGGGGATTTAGCTCAGTGATGCCACCACATGCCTCGCAAGCACAAGGTCCCAAGTTCAATCCTTTGAAACCAAGACTACATAGTCTACAAGCCATCTACAATGTTGGAGGTCTACTCCAGAGTGAAATCCTTTATCCCCCAGGCCCTGGACTGGCAATGGAATAAGGTACAGCAAGATTACTGTGCAGCAAATTGTCACTTGCCCAAAATAATGGTGGTGACAATTCTGTAGTCAGACTTAACTGAGATGCTTCTGAAGAAAGAAAAATACAGAATCCACCAAAAAATGTATACATCAGGAAAAGAAAAACTGGTACAAATTTTTAATACTGAGTTTATTGAGACATCATGGCCTCTACAATTACAAGAGTGCTCAGTGTGGTAGGCATTCGCTTCCAGACCAGACACTTATGGCAAACTACTAAAGTGTATACACATTTTCCTTGGTAAACCCTGTACACATATATGGAATCACACTGATATGGCACAACTCTTCTGGATTATTAAAGAGAAAAATGCAGAAGTAACAAAGGAAAGAGAAAACTTAAAATATAATGAGTTTCAGTCGCCTCTGATCATCCTCATTACAAGAACTACGATGCACAATGACATTTCCACAGGAGGCAGGGATCTCTCCATGACATCTGCACATCAAGCACAGCCCAGGCCAGGCTGCCAGGACAATGTCAACTAAGGATGGATGGGAAGCTCTTTCTTTTCTTTTCTTTTTCTTTTTTGGCACCAGGGATCGAACTCAGGACCTTGAGCTTGCAAGGCAGGTGGGAGAACCACTGAGCTAAATCCCCAGCCCAGGGAAGCTCTCTCTTGACCTCTTCCTACCCTTTTTTTGACAGGGGGATGAGGATTGAACCCAGGGACTTTGCCCTGAGCTACATTGCTAGCCTTTTTATTTTGAAAAAGGACCCCACTAAGTTGCCCAGACTGGGCTTGAACTTGTGATTCTCCTGCCTCAGCCTCCGAGAGTAAAGGTATTACAGGTGTGTACCGTGATACCTGGCTTCTCTCTACCTTCTAATTACAACTAACTACTCTGACACAAAAGCACAGAGACAACACGATGGAACTGCATCTTTGGATTCCCATAGACCCTATGACCCCTGCTTCAAGGCACCAGCCTAGCTCTTCATGCAAAGTATCTGGAAGTGACAAAGAGACATGCAAGAATCCAAACCATGGCTTGTACTTTTCCCTCCTCTAAAAAGATGTAAAAAATATTGTGATACTTCTTCACACCCAAATGAGTTTTTCTTGAAATAACGTATATACAGACTATAACTTTTTCTATCACTTGATTCTTTTTTTTTTTTGAGACAGGGTCTCACCATGTAGTTTAGGCTGGCCTCAAACTCATGGCAGTCCTCCCAAGTGCCAAGATTACAGGTGTGTACCACCACACCAAGCTATAACTTGATTCTTTAAAATGGATTCGCACATATGAAATGAACCATAGTACTTACATGTAGAGATCCATAGGAAACTCCTTCATCATATGTGTTACAATAAATTCTACCATCAGATCTAAGAGGGGAAAAGAGAAAAACTAGATCAATTAGAATGAAATTCATACCTTAAGAGTTGGGAAACCCCCCTGAGCACTGTGCCCTTGCACTCATGCTAAATGACATCTACCACCCAAAGCGATACCCACATGCACTTCAATTTATTTTGTAAAAGACACTTTCTGCGACACTCTGCCACTTGCAAATGAGCACGAAAATCAGTTCACTCTCCTACTTTCAAATGGATACCCTGACCTGCCAATAATTTCCAATACCAGGGATCCTTGTTACAGATACTTCATGCATGGTATTCATTGCTCATATTTACCACAGCAAAATCTTATTCCAAGACCACAGCAGTGAGAGAGCAAGAAAAGAAATTACTGATCACATTCTTGCAACCAGAGACTCAGCTCTAAAGCTATGTCAGTCTGTCTCATCTCACTATCCAAACGTTTGACAGATACTAAAAATGGTCTGTGGGGCTAATTATACAGTCTTAACTACTGTTTTTAAATCAAACAGACTTAGGAATTAGGGATGAATATCCAGGCAGAAGTGGGCTTAAGAGAACTGCCAATCTCCTGGAGAAAATGCAGAATTCTGGACAGACAAGATCCCCAATATACAGCCCCTCCCTATCAGCTCTGCCAGCCCCATCTCCACTTAACACAGTCAGGGAGTTTCTTGTTTTGTTTTGTTTTTAACTTTCTGAGATTATTTTTCTGTTTAACATAATGGTTTATAATTTCTTCAATTATCCTGTGAATGACATGATTGTGACAGTCAGGAACCCTCCTGATCATTTGACTCATCAATTAGGAACGAGAAAGGAGGTTAGACTGAAGTCTTTATCGGGAGTAAAGTATTTTGCAAATTTAAATTATATACCAAGTTTAGATATAGAAGGTTTTTCCTTTGAATGACAGCACCCTTTACTGGGCACTGTATTTATTGGGATTTCCAAATACAATAAACTTGTTTTCTTAGGCCAGTGAAGAAACATAAATAGTAACTTCTCTGATAAAAAGCACATCAACAAAATCTTAATCATGAGAACCTGTCATGAGAAAAATGACAATTTTTATGATATTCACTTACCCAATACTGCACATACTAAAGGACGGCAGGGAAGATTCTTGTCTGCTGCCTTCTTCCTGTGTCTCATGGGCTTCCCCACAAAAAAGTAAAAGGAAATTAGCAAACACCTGAATTAAGAACGTCATCATCATGTTCCTCAAGCAAATTAAAGTCACTGCTACAGACAAGCTGCTACCTTTTCTTCCTCTTTTTCTAGTGGCTGAGGTGGGGTGGGACAAGGAAGACTTATAAAGGCTTCGCAGTTATTAGTGTAGGCCTGTGACAAAGACACAACTCACAGCAAGGCGACTTCCCACAGGGCACACTACAACAGGAAAACCATTGTTTTTACTTTTATCTATACTGTACATATGACACTGTTAACAACATTGTTTTTTTCTTGGGGGGGGGTTGATTGCCCAGGCTGATCTCAGCCTCCCAAGTGCTAGGATTACAGGAATGTGCTACCACACCCAGCATGCTTTTGTTTTTTTAAATTATAATTCAGAAAAAGAAGAGGAAGCTGGGCACAGTGGCACACACTGTAATCCCAGCACACTGGATGACGAGCTTAAACTCAGCCTGGGCAACATAGCAACACCCTATGTCAACAAATAAATACATAAATAAGTAGGGCTGGATATGTAGCTCAGTGATAGAGTGCCCCTGGGTTCAATCCCTAGAGCCTGAAAAGAAAAAGGAGGAAGAACAAAGAGGAAAAAGGAGGTAATAGTGGCAACTACAGAGGCAACAAACAATTGCAACTGCAAAAACAAATAGTAAGTTTCAAACCTAAATTTTAATGTGGCATTTTTTTCCCACATACTTCTAAATTCTGAGATACTTCCTTATCTTTCATATTCTATATGCTCCACCTTTCAGGTGAATAAATCAAAGCAGCACCTAAACTTTTCCAAGTAAAGATCATGCTATGCTTTGAAAACATAAGGCTTAGACCCCTTTTTTGTTGAAATCTATGCTTTTTGATATAGTCCATGATTGCAATGGCTATATGGCTATGGATCTCTCTATCCTCTCTTGAGCAAGAAACACCTCTGTAATACATAAAAAAAAAAATCTGGCAAGGGTCATACAAGAACTCTTTGGCACAATTTTCTATCCATGTTTGTTCTAGTAGGACCAATTTCATCCCAACCCTGTCAATACACAAAATATTTCCCACTAAGGAAAAAGAAACAAAAGTCACACCTACCATTCTATGTAAGTTTACTCGAAAATTCATGTTGTCATCATGCAAAAATGCATTGGCATACTGATCCTAATAAAAAATAGAGAAAAAGAAAGGAATGAGACTGAAAAACTGAAGAGATTCAGTTTGTAATTCAGCACACTTCCTGTAAATCCTTGGACTTAGAGCCACTTTCAAGGATCAGTTGGAAAGCTAACAGGATAAGCCTCAGCCTCTATGTCAAACCCTATTAAACCACAACATTTTTTACTTGGGGATAATTTCCCTGTGTATCTTTATTTAAAAATCTCTAAGAAAATTAAAAAATAAAAATTAAGATCCAGGAAGTTGAGACAAATGTTGAAAGGAATCTGTTTTCCAATTCCCTCTTCCTTCCCATCTGCCCCGGGAGTCAGCTCTGTGTGTGACAGCTTGAAGGTTTTCAGGGTGGCGCAGGATGCACATGCAGGCTCCACATGAGACTCCTGTTAGAAGAGGAAAGGGCTGTGCTCCACTGGGAAGGAGCTCAGCACAGCAGGGGAGACCAGCCACACAGGCAGCTTGGAAGCAAGACCTGCTATCCCTGCTCTGCTGAAGACTGATAGCAAAGCGAAAATTTCCCACCAAGGGTTGATAACAGGCATCCCATGGCCCTTTCCCAATACCTGTTCTGAAGACGTGACACACCTAAGACCCCAATGACTAGGACTCATTACAGTTTGTGAAAAACAACTTCAAAGATTTCATTGAAAAGATTTTTAAAAAGCAAGTACTCCAGGCCCACTGCTAATAAGCAGCTCTTCTCTAACAGCCTCCCCTGGCTTGGTGAAAAGGAGGTCATCCTCCAATAGAGAATACACAAAGGCAAGGTAGGAGTGACGGCTCTCCAAGCGGACCACCTTGACTTCTTGTCTTAAAAGAGGAAAGGGCACAATAAGAAAAGTATAAATACAGCTCTGAACTGTCTCAAGTTTTGTGGTACTCACGTGCCACCAAGATCTGTAGTCAGTTAAGCCCAAGCCCAAAGTGCCTTCTCAGAAAGCCTTTTCCGAATGTTCTCTCCCCACTTCACCCCAGGAAACCTGAGCTCCTTTTCCATTTAAAGTCCAAACACGAGAGCTTCAAAGGGGCAGGATTAATTTTTTTAAGAGTTCAAGTCTCTTGTTTAAAACTGTGGAGAGTCAGAACCCTCTAGTTCTCAACTATGGCAGTTATCACAGCACAATTCATTATGAATGTGCCCAGTAAATGCTGACTGAGCTTCTAACACAGGCCAGGCACAGAGACCAAAGTGGTGAGGAAGATACAGTCCCTGCTTTCAGAGCTCATGTTCCAGTGGGAGGAGACAGACAAACTCCCTCCAAAGCTTTAGGGCCCTAAACATAGTTGTGAAACAGGAGGGCTGGGGGTGGGGAACAAGAGCACTCTCTAAGAGAGTTCATGCCAGAAGGCTACTGAGACCTACCTCTGCAATACATGTAAGGATAATCAGACAGAGCTTGCCACTATGAAGCCTGTGTTCATCTGTAAAGAAAAAAATAAACCCTTCACTGTATATCATCCAAGCCAGGTTTCACTAGAGAAAAAATATGCATACTACTCCCCCTACCCCAGCATTCATGAATGAAAATCAAAGTACTTCAAGAATAATTCTTAGCGGGCGTGGTGGCGCACACCTGTAATCCCAGCACTCGGGAGGCTGAGGCAGGAGGATCACTGTGAGTTGGAGACCAGCCTGGGCTACATAGTAAATTCCAGGTCAGTCTCAACTACATAGTGAGACCCTGTCTCAAACAACAAACAAAACAAACAAACAAAAAGAATAATTCCCTCCTAGATCACAGTTCTTATCCTGGTAGTCTGTTAAACACCTTCTTGAGAACCACCTAACCCTTGTAGTGGCTTTTACTGTCGTGAGACATACCCTTTGCCTCTAGGTCAGTACTTTTTTCCCTCACTTCTGGGGATTGAACTCAAGGCCTAGCACATACTAGGCAAGCCTTCTACCACTGAGCTATATCCCTAACCCCAGCTTTTGTTTCTGAATAATCAGGTCCACCTTTTCTACCCTCTCATCCACCAGCTATAATCACCATCAGTGGTACCTATCTACCACAAAATCTAGTAAGGCTTCTAACTGTTCATAGCAAAACGGCAAGGAAATCAGATGGAAATTAACTAGCCACCAGGGTCCAGCCTAAGCTGCTCCTTGCACTGTGCTTGGTATTTATAACCTACAAAGATGTAATCTCTTGATCATTTTTCATCCTAACAAAGTTATTTATTCAACAAACATTTGTTTAGCATCCAGTGTGTGGCAGGCACTGTGCTAGGCACTAGAAATACAGCACTGAAGGACTAAGGTCCCTGGTCTCCTAGAACTCAGATTCCAGCTATTTTAAAAGGCAGAGGGCTAGGGTGTAGCTCAGGGGTAGAGCGCTTGTCTAGCATGCACAAGAACCTAAGATCTGGTCCCTAGTTCAGCAATCAAATGAGAAAGCAGAGCTCTACGCCCATGTATACAAACTAACAAAGAGCTACTCTACCACTGCCAATTAATCATCAGTCATCAACACTTACTTACTTTCCAGGAACTGTGTGGATGGGGGGGTGTGAAATAATGGTAAGAAAAGGGTCATGCCTCACATTTTAAAAAAGGGCTCAATTTTCAAAATACCAGGATCCAGATGAGGGTCCATTCTAAAAGACGACCTCTTCACAAACTGCAGTGCTCTCTACGTTAGCTAATACTACTCATCCTTACATTACCTACTTCTTCCTCAGAGGCACAGTCTATCAATTAAAACCTGACAGTGCCAGAGCACAACAGGAGAAGGGTTCCACAAATCATTCCTCTCTCCTCAAAAACAGACAGTGCAGAGGGGACAGAGCCATGGAAAAAGTGCCACTGTTGCTCCCCAAAACACAATGTGATCCTGGTGGATGGGTGTTGTGTCTTGTGTCTAGGTGCCCTCCCAAAGCCTTATGTGGGCATAAGTGGGGCTTTTCAGAGGGAGCTGGATCTAGGTTGTGTGATGCTGGGATTAAGGCTGCCCCATTCCAGGTGTGTGTGCCGCCCAGTCTAAGGGCTGGGAGACAGAAAGAGAACTGCTGCCATTGCTTACTGCTGCTTGTCTTCTGCCACCTCCTGCTCGCTCTGGGACGCCCCTCTGCCATGCCACCCTGCCTTTGAGCCATCCTTATAGACTGAAACCTTACAAACTCTTCTCCTTTAACTTTAGGTATTGGATATTTTGTCTCAGCAATGAGAAAAGTAACTAAGACACCTAAACCTAACCATACTGGATGTTAGAGACACTGACACCACCCACACTGAATTATTTTTATTTTCTTGAAGATATTGGGGATTGAACCCAGGGCCTCACACAAACTAGGCAAGTACTCTACTGCTGAGATATATCCCCAAGCCCCCATACTGAATTAATCAGCCCTTCATTTCAGCTTCTATTCTATAGACTGTGAAGTAAGTATGACAAAGAGGCTTATATACTCATGAAAGCTAAAGATGTGTTCCAAGAGCCTCCATGTACTGTTATATCAAATAAAGCTAAAAGTTCATTTTCTGGGTCACATCTATATCATTTCTCTCTCCTACAGTGGCTGCAAGAAGCAATAGCCTCAAGAGTCTCTGACACACAAATGCCTTTTTATCCCATTCTACCGGGTCTCACTGGTCCAGTCTCAGAGGTTCAGCCACCTCGTGGCTCCAGCAGGCTGTTCTATGTCCGGAGTCTGTGCCAGGGAGTGCCTGGATCTAGCTCATCCCTGTGGGAAACTCATTCCTGAAAGAGCAACTCACATGAAAGAAGAGGAAGAGTCTCAGTTCGCGAGGCAGAACTCTCCAACAGCAAGGGCAGAGTGCAGAGTGCTGTGGGCCTAGACTGCTCCCCAGGCACCTCTGGCTCTGGCAACGCTTCATTCCCCTATCTGTGTTTCGGCTCTTCTACCTCCATCTACCAACATTTCCTCCTCACTCTGAAAGGCCTTGAGCCTGGTCATCCCCTCCTTCAGAGCTTTCAGCTTCACTCAAGAATTCCTCAACACTCTCCTACCAGAAAACTAACTCCCATCTAGCAAATAGCACATTAAATGACTACAGGAAATGTAGACCACCTCACAAAGCACTAATCTCTCTTCACAGAAAGGCAAAAACAACTGTATTTTAATAATTTTGATTCTACAATGGAAGTAGTTTTTTTAGATCTAAAAATCTGACATTTGTCCACAGACTACAATTTAATTAAGTCAAAATTCATCTATTAAGTAGTCAGTTCCTAAAATAGGATTTAAAGATTCTTATAAGAAGTAGGAGCCGGGCGTGGTGGCTCATGCCTCTATTTCCAGCACTCGGGAGGCTGAGGCAGGAGGATCGCTATTGAGTTTGAGACCAGCCTGGACTACATACACAGTGAGTTCCAGGTCAGTCTCAACTACATAGTGAGACCCTGTCTCAAAAAAAACAAAAACAAGAAGTAGGGAGCCAGGGATTTAGCTGAGTGCTGCTGCTGCCTGCCTCAAAGCACAAGGTCCTGAGTTCAATCCCCGGTGCCAAAAAAAAAAAGTAGGGCATAGTGGTACATGCCTATAATCCTAGCATGTAGGAGGCTGAGGCAGGAAGATGGTGAGTTTGAGGCCAGCCTGGGCTATACAACAAAATCTATCTCTAAAAACAAAACTGTTCTTATATAGAAGCCTTTTTTTCCTTCCACGTAGTGGGGCTTGAACCCAGGGCCTTGCCCCTGAGCCCGTCCTTAGCACTTTGTTTTGTGAGTGTTGGTGAGGGAGGTGGGACACAGTCTCGTAAGTCGCTAACTTGCCTTGGCTGGGCTTGAACTTTCAATCCTTCTGCCTCAGCCTTCCAATCTGCTAGGACTATCGGTGTGCACCACCAAACCAGGCCAAAGAAGCCTTCAAGAAAGACACAGTATATGCCAACACACTGAAAGTGATTATATTTGAAGGATTTAGTAGAAAGAACTTTTACTTTTTAAATTAACCACTGCTAAAATGTTTGTTTTTTTTTTCCTCATTGAGTTTATTGGTACATTTTAGGTACACAGTACAGTTATATTCATCGTTGGGATCTTGTACCTTTACATGACAGGTCTTGGTTCTCATTTTTTCCCTTATCTCTGCACTCCCTTTGCCCCTTCCTCCTTTCCCTATTTGCTAAAATGTTTTAATGTTTAACAAGTAATACTTCAATTAATTTTGTAATTTAAAAAATTTCCTCCTAAATAAAAGAAACCCAGTGGATCAACCTTTAGGTACCAAATAAAATGCTAATGAAAATATTCATGAAAGGCTGAGCGCAGTGGCACACATCTGTAACCCCAGCTACTCAGGAGAATGAGGCAGGAGGAGTACAAGTTTGAGGCCAACCTAAGCTACTCAGTGAAACCTGGTCTCAAAATAAAACTTTACAAAGGGCTGGGATGTGGCCTAGGGCTACAATGCTTGCCTACCATGCAGAGAAGGCCCTGGCTTCAATTTCCAATATCTTTTGTAAAAAGTTCACTTAAATGCTTGGTGTGTTGAACCCCGACACCACAAAATGAGGAGGAGGACGAGGAAGAGAAGGAAGAGAGAAAAAGAGGAAGGTAAGCGCCACATGATCCTTTCAACTCATGCAAGAAGTGTAATCCAAAAATACAATGAATGTTTACTTTTTTAAAACTTATCACAGTAAAAGATATATCTCCATCAATCTCCCACAAGATGCTGGCACTGGCTTTGAACACACTTTATCCCATCATCCTCACTACTTGATGAAGCAGTTGTGGAAGTCCTTTTTCATAAGTGTCTTTAGTTTCACTGTCGTGGCTGCCTCAATGGACTTAAAATATTTATCCTTTGCTAGTTTACATCTAGTTGTCCCCCAAGAACTTCATGCACTCATGGGTAGGGGTTTAGATGGTGACTGGATTATGGAGCTTACAGCTGACTTGCTGCTAGGTGGGAGAGGTGGACACAGGAGCGGGACTTTGCAGGGTTTATCTCCATCCCCAGCTCCCTACGCTCTCTGCCTCCTCCTACCAGTCTGTGAGCCGCGCCCTTCCACCATTCCATTCTGCCTTGGGGCCAACCAACCGAAACAGGAGCCAAAGCAAACCTCTTCTCCTTTACTTTGCAGGTGCCAGGTATTGTGTCTCAGTGAGGAGAAGTGACTAAGATACCTTCCATGACCATTTCGACTGTGAAGAAGAGTTAGACAGAAGGTGCCAGATCCAAGGAATAAGGTCGATGAGGGCACACAATGACATTTTTACAAGCCTGCCTTTCTCTCGGGTGACAGTTGGCAGCAGCATTCAACAATTTTTTATCACACCTCGTAAAGACAAAACAGGACTTCCAGAACTGTTTCAGAGAGTGGCAAGAAGCCAAGTGTGCTGCCACATGCCTGTAATCCCAGCACTCGGGAAGATAGCTGAGGTTCAAGGCCATCCTGGGCTACAGAGCAAGACCTCGTTTCAAAAAACCAAAACAACGAAGACAACTATAGGAAAATAGTAGACCAGTGCTGCAGAAGTAGTTCAGGGGTGAGGACTACAAGTTTGAGCCTAGCCTGGGCAACACAGTGATGCAGCAAGACCATGTTTCAACCAGGTATGGTGGTACACATTTCAAATCCCAGCATTTGAGAGGCTGAGGCAGGAAGCTCACCATGAGCTGGGGCCACACTGGACTATAAGGCCAGCCTAAACTGCATAGTGAGACCTGTCTAAAAAAAACCCATGTTTCAAAATAAATATTTTTTAAATGGCTGGGGCTATAGCTCAGTGTGAAGGCCCTCAGTTCAATCTCCACTATCACAAAAAAAAAAAAAAAAAAAATCAAATTTTTCCCATACCCAATCCTCTCCTATTTCCACTCTGCATTTCTAGATGCGTTAAAAAATCAAATTTCCCATACCCAATCCTCTCCTATTTCCACTCTGCATTTCTAGATGCGTTCTAACACTTCTATTTTCAGCATTAAGGAACATAGTCCCTCTGAATCTCACCTCTTCCTACTGTACTCTGCACAACAGTCTTCTAATTCTCACCACAAGCTGACGCTGAGTTCTTGTCCTCAAAAGGGAATTCCCTGAAGTGTGTTAATCCCCCCCAACTTCCCACACAGAAGAGTCCACATCTACTTACCAAGATTTGCTAAAAAGATTTGCTAACATTTGTAGAGACCAATTTTTTTTTCCTGTTCTATTTCTGAACACTCCCCTCCAGCTTCAGGTTTCCTAACACCACTTAATCTCCATCTAGCAGTGAGAAATCACTGTTTTCCAGTAGTCAGGACCATGACCTTGCACAGTTCCCCAATAGTTCATCCTGTCAAACATTAGCAATGCTCTTTAATTCTAGCTGCCTGCCATACCTCCTACTTTCTGTACCCCCAAAATAGCATGCCTTACCTTTGGTATCTTGCATGACAATTGAGCTATACTTTAAGAAGGTTATCAGTAGATTACTGGTCTGTACATCTGCATCCAGTGGGAGTTCCACAGAACTTATAACTGGAATAGAAAAAATAAAATGTGCTTAGCCCATAATGTATTTCCATCCAACACTCCTACCCACATAGCCAATTTGCCAGCAGGCCAGAAAATGACTAAATAAGCTTTTACCACAACAGAGGGGAGACTAAGCACTTACCATAAAACTTTTTATCTCATCTTCCTAAGCATCTAGAGGCCTTCTACTTCCCATACTAAGCCAAACAACCTTCTCTTCCATCTAAGGTCAGTCTCTAGGAACAGTGCTTATTTCCCAACATCCTAGGAAGGGTATGTTCATGCCACTTCCGATCCAAGTAACCCCCAAAGAGTTCAGGACCCTTCTTAAAGGCACTGTGGTTTCTATCTTTTAAAAAAATCTTATTGAATATAAATGAACTTTGATAAGTCTCTTGCTTAAAATACATTAAGATTGCTTCCTAATAAGGAAAATTCTGTCTCAAATTTGAGAACAAGCCTTCAGATTAGAAGTAGTACCCAAGACGAATGGGGCAAAAGTTAAAGCAGAAGGGCCAGGGATGTAGCTCAGTGGCACTGCGCCTGCCTGGCAAGTGCTAGGGCCAGAGTTCAATACCTGGTACTTTAAAAAAAAAAAAGGCAGAATTACACTCAAATTCTACCCATTAATCCCTTGCGCCCTGAATTGGAACCTGAAAAGCAAAATCAAACTGAAACAGGAAGACATTACTGATGGGAACAGCCTGGGACTCAAGGTTTATATATCCAGCTTCTGTTTCTAAGAGAGCTCCCCAAACCCCTACTTCCTGAGTTACACTCCCAGTGAACAATGAGGGACCACAGTAGGACTGATCCACACAGAACATAGCCTTTATGCAGACTCCCCAAGATTGTAAGACTTCAAATTATAATTAGTCACCTTGATAAGTGCCTCTACACTGTCTAAGAAGTGAAATACAAACAAAAGGAGCCACATGACAGTCCAGACAAGCTGGAGAATCTATAGCTGAGTACTCAGCTGAGTCTGGGATACTGCTCATTATATGTATTCATAACCATAATGGATCCCTCTGGAGTTATTACAGCATATGCTGTGAAGGGTTATTAACAATGGGAAATATTTGCATATTACAGATCCGCAATACACAGCAAGCACAACAAAAAGTCTTAAGGGAAGAAATTAACAAGCCCAACTTCTGGCCCCAAAGAAGTAATAAAAGATAAATATACTTTTATACTGAAGTACTAAAAGGTCTTAATTCATGCTAGGGGTTAATGGCCTGAGATGGTCATTTCAAACCACAGCATCTTTTGATGCTCATCCCATAAGCGTGGCTTTGTCCAGCACAAAGAATATCTCAATGGTAAGTGGGACGTCTTTCCTACTCTCACATGGCAATAACTGGGAAACTATCTTATATAATATGTAGAAATATAGAAGTATATGTATTTTTAGTTTACCAAAGTCCTCTCATGCCAAGGCGGAGTTGTCAAATGTCAAATCTGAGCTGAGAACAAATGTTACAGCTAAACTGCTGGCTTTTAAAAATAATAGTTCCAGTGACATACCTTTAAATATAACATAGTGCTACTGAAGAGCACTATGATTAAAAACTAAAAATTAAAAATAAGGTTATAATACTTAGGACCCCTACAGAAAGGAAACAAGTTATGAGAGAGGAAAAAGAACAAACAGAACAGACAGAATAAAATCCCTCACAAATTAAAATCTCCTTCCTAAAGAAGCATTATTCCTTGATCTTAGGCTTCATAATTCTTCCTAGTTTTGTTAAGAAGGACAGTCATTTGAAAGTGGGATGACTTGATCTTCCCACTAGAAAAAATAAAAGCTCACTGGTTGTAGGTAAGTAAACACAAACTCTGCCATTGCATAATCAAGTGTGTGGGTGGAAGTGTTCACAATGAACAGTTTGAAAGGCAGTTCTTCAAAGCCTTCAAAATTCAACATCACATGGAATTGAGGTATATATTTATATATGGCTTTTGCTATCCATGGCAACCAGGCAGGCTTCATCCTTAAAGAGAAAGTACAGAATTTCCATTGGCTTATCTGATGACCTGAATAAACAGACAAGGAGGAAATCCTTACTACTAGCTCCTTCTCATTAAGATATTTCGGAATTAGGATTTCAATTCTCAGAAGATCCAATTTGCTGCCATGGACCTGAATATATATCAATGGCACTTCTTTGCCATACTCCCTTGTATGGCTTAAACTGCCTTAAAATGCTTATGCCACAACTCTATACAAAAATTTAGGAACTGAGAATGCAGCTCAGAGATAAACTGCTCATGTACCATGCATGAGGCTAAATTTGGTGCCCAACACCTCACACTTAAAAGAATAACAACAGCCAGCCATGGTACACGCCCAGCACTCTCGAAGGCTGAAGCAGAAGGATAGCAAGTTCGAGCCCAATCTACCATACTTAGTGAGATTCTGTCTCAAAATAAAAAATAAAAAATAGGGTAGGAATATAGCTTAGTACAAACACCCTCAGTTTGATCCCCAGTACTACAAATAATAATAATAAAACAATAACAGCGAGGCATGGTGGCACACACTTGTAATCCCAGCATAAGGAAGCTGAGATAGGGGAATTACCATGTGTTTGAGGCTAGCCAGGGATATATAATGAGCTCAAGGCCAGCCTGGACTGCACAGTAAGACCCCATCTCAAAAAAAAGTAAAAACAAGGGCTGGAGATTTAGCTCAGTGGTTCTGGCGCCTGCCTTGCAAGCACAACAACCCAAGTTCGATCCCCGGTACCAAAAACAAAAAAAAGTAAAAACAATAACAAAAAACTTACGGGAGAAAAACAGAGCAAAGAAGATTATTTCACATACAAGCAGGTGGGAGGCCAGGACTGGTGGCACACACCTGTAGTACCTCCCAAACTCCCAATTAAAAGCAGGAGGATTGCCATGAGTTCAAGGCCAATCTAGGCTCCATAGTAAGTTCAAAGTCAGCCTGGACTACATAGCAAGACCCTGTCTCAAAAACAAAAAAAAAAAAAAAAAAGGCCAGGGATTTAGCTCAGTGGTTCCACTGCCTGCTTTGCAAGCGCAAGGTCCCCAGTTCGAACCCTGGTACCAAAAAAAAATCAAAAAGAACAGAATGAGTCAGGGATATGGCTCAGCAGCACCTTACCTGCCTTGCAAGTGCAAGTTCCTGAGTTTGATCCCCTATACCAGGGAGAAAAAACAAAACAGGAGTGGAACACAAAGAAAAGATCAGGGCCGGGGATTTAGCTCAGTGGTTCCACCACTTGCCTCACAAGTGCAAGGTCCTGAGTTTGATCTCTGGTACCAAAAAATGTTTAAAAATTAAAAGTAAAATTAAAATCTAAAAAAAGATCAAAATTGGATTTCCTGTACTGCTTATGCAAAATGAGTTCGATATTTGACGTATAATATCAAGTATTAATAGTATAACCCAGGCATGATGGCACACGCCTGTAATCCCAGTACTTGGGAGGCTGAGGCAGGAGGATTGCTGGGAGTTTGAGACCAGCCTGAGCTACATAGTGAGTTCCAGGGCAGTCTCAACTACATAGTGAGACCCTGTCTCAAAAAAAAAAAAAAGTATTAATGCTATAACATCAAATTTTAATGTAGCTTATTTTCAGGCTAAGGTACACCCCCGTTTCAATAGAACCAATCCAGGTAAGGTAACACAAAGATTTTTGGAACAAATTCATAATTTCGTTTTTAACTCACATAAAAATCATACATAGTTATGATATATCAAGTGATATTTTGATACATATGTACACTGCATGATATTTAAATTAGGTTAATATATCTTTCCTCAAACATAATTTCTTTTTCACTTGTTTTGTTGAGACAGGGTCTCATCATGTAGTTTAGGCTGGCCTCGAATTCACTATGTAGTTCAGGCTGGTCCTGAACTCACAGTGCTCCTGCCTCAGCATTCTAAATGCTGGGATTAAAGGCATGCATCACCATGCCCAGCTAAACATAATTTCTGTTATATTCCGTTTACATTCCAGCCATGAGATTTATAACGGGACAATTTGCTTTGCTGCTTTTAGGGAAAGAAGTCTTAAATATCTACCAAACTCCCAATTGAAATACACTTAATCCTGTGCTATTTCCACCTGGGAGTATCTGGCAGATACATAACAGTAAGTGAATTCACTTTTCCATTCATTTATTCAACAAATATTTACTAAGCGATCACCACGCCTGGCACCATGCTGACCATACTACTAAGCAGAACAGATACAGTCCCTGCCCTGTTAGCTTTTCTGCTTTGTATTCTGTACTTTCAGTGAACTGGCTCCTCTGCCTCAATGTCCTCATCTGTAAAATGGTTACGAGGGATAACATCACTATTTTACATGTATTTCAGTACAGTCATAAAATTATTTTATTTTATAAAATATTTCATCTGAGCCTGAGAAGAACACGGAGAGTTCAGCAGGACACACACTGCTGGATTCCGAGGTCCCTTTCAGATCTAACATGCCATAATCCACCACCCTCACCCCCATCCCCAGGTACCAGGGATCAAACTCAGGACCTTGCACTTGTGAGGCAGGCACAGCACCACTGAGCTACATCCCTGGACCGTGACATGCCATGATTCTAAGACCGTTCCAGAAGACAGGCTAGAGTTACAGTGGTTTCTTTTATCGTTCTTTGTTTATTTTTTTATTTTTGAGGCAGGATCTCCCTTTGTAGTTCAGGTTAGCCTTGAACTCACTTTGTAGCCCATGCTGACCTTGAATTTGAGGTGATCCTCTTGCCTCAGCCTCCCAAGTTCTGGATTACAGGTGAACACTACCACACCCACGTCTTGTTTCTCAAAGAAAAAGTACTTGACTATCTTTTCCAAAGTTTTCTTTGGAGCTTCAGGAGTCCTGAGGGGTGGTACTATAGGCCATCAAATCATCAAATTTCCTCTTTCCTTTTCACAATTCTGTTTTGTTTTGTTTTCTGAGATAGCATCTTGCTATGCTTCCCAAACTGGTCTCAAACTCCTGAGCTCAATGACCTTCCCATCTCAGCCTCTCTACGACTGTGGGCCCTGCACCCCCTACTCAGCTTAGGCAAACCTCTTAATTGAAAGAATCAATAACTGTGCTCTTTGTTCAATACAGCTACACTCACCCTAAGTTCTAGGACAATATAAATCAAGAAGACAGAAGTGGCGAGCTCACCATCAGAGGACGGTGGTGTGGTCCCGAGTGGTGTGACCGGAGCTGTTGGAATGGGACTGACTGGGGTGGTCACCAAGCCCATTTCTGGATGACTCTGAAAGAGGACACAGATGGTTTAAACAAAAAAATAGAAAATACAGTTCTCCCTGATCCAGTCCATCTTCTGCTGCCTCCTCACAGGAACTGGTGGCCTTCTAACCAGACTGAAACCTCACCAAAAAGGAACTCCTGAAATACACGTGAAGCCCTGATTACTGCTGCTCCTTGCTGAGCTCTACCAAGACACTCTGTGGGTTTGTTTTCTTTAAGCAACTAGGCTGCCATTAACTAAATTTCTGTAGAACCATGCAAAAAAAACTACAGTAAATAAATTATTCAGATGATTTTACATGAAAGTGGGCGTCTGTGGTCCTCTGAGAACAAAGAGCCATCTAAAACACATCCATAGGCTCTTCTAATGACCACACAACTGACAGATATCGGTCAGCTTAAAAAGAAAATGGCGTCTGTTCTACAACAGACAACAGCACGTGAGAAACACAGGAAGACACTCACTAGGACCAAAACAGGTGAGTCTTATGCATGACCTTCCTCAGCCATCCCTGACACATCAACTCTGGAGAATCAAACCATAGCAGCTCTTTTTAATCTCCCTTGACTTGCAGTTTTACCAATCCTTTACCTTTCTCACCTCTTCTTTAAAAATCAGTTAATGGAGGGGAAGGGAAAAGGAGTAAGATATGTTATGTACACATACCAACTCCCCACAATGAATGTTAGCATTATGCACGGTAAATATGTACTAATAAAAATTAAAAATTTTTAAATATAAAGATAAAATCAGTTATGGAATTTGGAGAAAAGATGAGAAACACAGTGAGAAAAGTAGATAAGCTCTCTTATGTTAGCAATGATGAAAACTATTACATGCCCTTCAAGGTAGATACCAAACCAACATTCTGCTTTTAAAGTATGACCTTATTTTTTGGTTAAAACTCAGTGGATTCCATATACATCTGGCCTTTGAGAGGGGAAAAAAAAAAGTATAAGCAAACTTTCCCTGAAAAGAAACCTACATACATATTTTAAAGAGTCTAGCTTTAAGACAAAAACACTTTATCAATTTTTTAAGATAGCTTTCATGAACTTGAGTTCTTGACCTATTTTAGTACCCTCTGTGCCAGCTAGAAAGGCTATCCCACTGGCATATGACTAACATTCAGAATATCATGTCTTCCTGCTTTCAAAGATAATAGACCATTCTGTCTGTTAACAGCTAACCATATCCTAAAGAGGATTTTTTTTACTTCTCTGCAAACTGGTAAGATAAAGTAAGTGATGGCCTATTTTATTTTCAGCTGTAGTTCCACAGGAGTTTGGAAAGCAGAAAGCTATAAATAAAAATAAATACCAGAGCCAGGTGTGGTGGCGCACACCTATAATCCCAACACTTGGGAGACTGATGTAGTAGAATCACTGAGTAATAGGCCAACCTGGGCTACACTCAGCCTGAACATATAGTGAGACTGTCTCAAAAAAAAAAAAAAAAAAAAAAAGCAGGTAACACTGAGACTTTCTAGTGAGAAAAATGAAGTAACTGCAAGTCTTCGGGATTAAGAGAACCAGGAACTTTGCCTGTCAATACACTGACTTACTTCAGGACCAGAGGACAGTATGGTGTTACTCTGTTACTACCAATTACCAAGGGGAAACAGAGTTTAAACAGCTATAACCAGGACACTTGCATGGTGCCACTGAGCTAAATCCCCAGCCTCAACCAGGATGCTTTTTAAGAGAATGAATGTGTATGAAATTCAGGGAGAATAATGCGTTGGGGTTTTTAATGTAACCAACCTGAGCTAACACTGTGATGAAGTTGCGATTCAAATGAACAGCTTCATAAAGTGCCAGAAGAATGGCCTCGTTGGTTCTAAAGAAAAAGAGAACAAGGTAAGCTTCATCACAGCTCCTTATGGTCACTCCCTTGAGTTTCTAAGGCTCCCATGTACCTCCTGTGTGGCAGATGCAAAAGCATACAGATGAGGAAATGAAGTCCTTCAGACCTGCTCTTCTCTACTTCATTCACTATCTTCCCTCTTACTTTTCCACCCCATCCAGTTAAACCTTTAGATAGTTCAGATCCTCAGCCCTTTTCATTTTATTCCTGAGATAGTTTGGTTCGGTTTCTTCAGGCTCTATACATACAACAACAAAACAGAGATTTCTAAGGATCTATTATTGTTTAAAACCCAAGGAACATTTGATAAAATCACCAAAAAAAAGTTTGAATCTGTAAAAGATCATCCAGAAGTAACACTTCCCACTTTCATATCCAGCAGGAGAGTTTATACAGTGAAGTCTGAGTCACTGCTGAGAACATCAAGCACTTACTGTACTGAGATTTTCTCATGGGCATCTGCTATGAACATGCTGCCCACCTGTGGAGAAAAAAAGAACTGCAGCCTTTACGATGAAGGAAAATGTGAACGTAGCTCTATGCCCCTGAAATTTTGGGTGTGGGTGTGGGTGTGGGTGTGTACATGCTCAGTGGAGATTACATCCAGGGCCTATGCACTGAGCTACATTACATTCCCGGCATTTGGGAGGCTGAGACCAGAGAACTGCACAAGTTTGAGGCCAGTATGGGCTACACAGTGAGTTCAAGGCCAGCCTGAAATACAGAGTGAGACCGTTTAAAAAAATAGGCAGAATTCTGACTTGTGTACCTTTCTGTAGCAATCAGGGGTAAAAAATCAGTCCCAGAGAAATCAAAGTTCCCCTCCCTTATCTCACCTGATTTTGGAACTTGCTAAAGGAGACAGAATTCCACGTAAAATATGCTCTGAGCAGCCTTTCTCCCCTTAAACGTCTGACTGCTGAGTCCAACACTGCTACCCCTGAAGACCTCCTGTATTTCTGAGCAGGACAAAAAAAAACATGTAGGACTTACCATATTTGTTAAAGCTGAGAAAAAACCACTCTGGTGTTCTTCTTCCTTGTCTTTATACTGCCTGAACAAAGAGAACTAAATTCAGGATCATTTATCAAGTATGTCTTTGTCCCTGACATTCTAGATAATCAGGAGGGCACTGTTTGAAATCTCTGACTACCGAAAACTAAAGTATTATGAGCATCCAGCCCTGAAACTGCCCTGCAAGCTCACAGGCACTCTCTGCTCCTGAGGCACAGTGCACCAAAATGCCAGGCTACTTTGGGAAAGACTTAGAAAGCAAGATGCAAAAGTGTGAAACATATGGCTGAACCATTTATTTCCCAAACAGACTATTACTTGAAAAATGTGACAGTGAAATTGCTTTAAGGCTGTAACAGTAAAAAATCTTGTTTGTTTTTGAAGGAGAAGGAAGAAAATCAGAAAGCTAAAACATTTGTAGAAATGAAACAGATTTGAAGTCCCAAAACCCAATTGTGTGTGAGGAAAGTCAGAGAGGAACAAAAGACCATGCCTGGCCTTCTGCAAGTTTAAAGACATTTCTGTTTTCCATTCAAGGGATACCAGATCCTTTTCCACACTTAGCTAGAAGAAAAGCAAGCATCAATGAAGAGAGCCCTACAGGAAACAGGAACTCCAGGAAGTTGAGATTAATCACAAATGAGAAAGAATACTCAGGCTGGAGGAGTAGCTCAGTGGTAGAGCATAAGCTTACCATGCATAAGGCCTTGGATTCAATTCCCAGGATTAAAAAAAAAAAAAAAAAAGTAAGAAGAAAGAAGAAACATCTGCTCGAACTAGATCTAATTCAATGCTGTTTTCTCCATTTGTTTATTTATATATTCACTTGCTTGCTTATTTTTGTGTAACTGGGCATCAAATACAGGCCCTTGAGCATACTAAGCAGTCTATTCCCAAGCTATAGTCCCCAGTTCCTCCCATTCCTTTTCCCTGGGGCACATGAGACTGAACTCAGGGCCTTGTATATGTTAGGCAAGTACTCTACCATTAAACTAGGTCCTCAGTCCTTATTTTATTTTTGAGACAAGGTCTTGCTAAATTGCCAGAGCTATGGGTGGGGATATAGCTCAGAGGCACCACACCTGCCTGGCAGGTGCAAAGTCCTGAGTTCAATCTCCAATACTGGAAATAAATAAATAAAAATAAAATTATGTAGGGCCGAGGATTTAGCTCAGTGGTTCCGCTGCCTACCTTGCAAGCGTAAGGACCCAAGTTCAATCCCCGGTACCAAAAAATAAAATAAAAAATAAAAAATTTTTTAAAAATAAAAATACGTTGGACATGGTGGCACAAGGATCACTGTGAGTTCGAGACCAGCCTGGGCTACAAAGTGAGTTCCAGGTCAGTCTCAACTATATAGTGAGACCCTGTTTCAAAAAGAATAAAAATAAATTGCCAGAAGACAGGGGATTTAGCTCAGTGGTTTGCTGCCTGCCTTGCAAGTGCAAGGTCCCAAGTTCGATTCCCAGTACCAAATAAATAAATACATTGCCAGAGCTGGCCTCAAACTTAGAACTCTGTTGCTTTAGCCTCCCAAGTAGCTAGGATCACACACCTGTCTACTCCTTTTTATTTTTTTAAGAGTACAAGTAGCTGGGCATGGTGGTGTATGTCTGTATTCCCAGCACTGAGGAAGCTGAGGCAAGAAGACTGCTGAGAGTTAGAGGCCAGCTCAGGCTACACAGTGAGTTCAAGGCCAGCCTGAACAACACAGTGAGACCCTGGAGAGAGAAAGGAGGGGGGGGAGAATCCAAAAAAATTGGTGCTTAATGACCTTTTTTTTTAACATAGAAAAATATAATTGGGCTAAACAGAAAAAGCCTGCTTGTAGCTAGAAATATAATTAAATTTTTTGCAATAAAATAGCAAAGTCTGCAAAAGAATGTACCCAATTGCTTAGACTACAAATACACCAAATGGTTACTTTTCCCTGGTGTTAAAAACAACCCCTGCTAATTCCATCAGCTGAGCTACTGCAAATACATCTGCATGGAGGTGAACCTCTGAACACTCCCAGGATGGGTCACGGAATTCTACCCAACAACTCTAACAAGTCTGTTACTGAATGAACCAATTCAGATGAAAATGGTGGACTTACCTGTTGTATTCAGATAAAGCCTGAGCGATCACAAGCCCCATTCCCTAGAAGAGCAAAAACAGCAAAAAAAATAAGCAAGCAATCCTTGGGGCTAATGGTGATACTGTGACTCAGCCAGGAAGAAATGCTAAACCCTACACTCCATGCCCCAGAAGCTAGGCCTGAAAGTTAACAATAAGGAGAGAAATTCTGAGAGACACTGTCAAGCAGAAAAAAATTTCTTTGGAAAGATTTTGCTTATCTAATTATCTTCCTTAAGGTTCCCAGATGGAATTTAAAACTGAGTAAAAAGGTGGAAAAAAAACAGCGGAGATGTCCGGGGATTTAGCTCAGTGGCACCATACCTGCCTCACAAGCACAGGGTCCCAAGTTTGATCTTCAATCCCCGGTACCAAAAAAAAGAAGAAAAAAAAACAAAAACAAACAAACAGTGGAGATTACTGACAGTTTCACTGGGATTGTTTCACTTTCGAAGAAAAGACGAAGATAGACTATTCAAGCAACAAGCCCCCAAAAATATTGGAAACAGGCACAATAAAATTGACAATGAGTCACATGCTAAATGTGTACAAACAAGTCACTTCCTTAGGCCATAAGAAAACAAGAGTTAAAGGAGTAGAAGCAGCCAGGCGTGGTGGTGATCCCAGCACTCAGGAGGCTGAGACAAGAGGACTGCTGTGAGTTCCAGGCCAGCAACACAGCAAGACTCTGCCTCAAAAAAAAAAAAAAAAAACAAAAGGAAGGGCCGGGATTTAGCTCAGTGGTGCCACCATCTGCCTCATAAGTACAAAGTCCTAAATTCGATCCCCCTTTACCAAAAAAACAAACAAACAAACAAACGAGAGCAGGGGGAAAAAAAAGAAGCACCCAATAAATGTTAATACAACCTATCAACATGCCCTCAGAACCTATGAGGCATGACACAAAAATCAAGTAAGGCCACAAGGTGAAACCTGTATGCCTTTTTTTATTTTTGTTTTTTGGTTTTTTGGGGTTTTTTTTTTTAGTGCCGGGGATCGAACTCCGGTCCTTGCGCTTGCAAGGCAGGCCACCGAACCGCTGAGCTAAATCCCCGGCCCTGTATGCCTATTTTTAATAAGGGGGAAAAAGAAATACAGCAAGGCATCTGGTCATCTTTCTCCTTATACTCAAAGATCAGAAGCAGGAATGCTGGTATACGCCTATAATACCAGCAGTGGGAAGGGTGAAGCAGGATTGCCACAAGTTCAAGGCCAGCCTGAACTACACAGAGGGACCTTGTCTCAAAAAACCAAAAAAGAAAAAGGAAAAAAAAATAAAACATTATTCTGCAGACTTTCAAGGCTATACATACATAGCAGATACATATTATCCTTCAAGTTTCAGCTTTAATGAGGCAGGCTATAGATACCGTGTAGCTGGTTCTATAAGAAGGAACCTCCCAAAATTCAGTCATCTGCGTTCTTCCTCTTGGGTGTGGAACTTAACCAGCCCTGGAGAGCAGCCAGCCTTGGCACACCAAAGCATCAACAACCAACCATGTCATCATGATCACTCAGCAAGTCAATGTCCCCTCAAACCTTCTTCCTCAACACTAAGACAACAGCACTGATGCTCTCTCAAATTCACTCTTTTTTTTCCCAGTACGAGAAATGGAACTCAGGACCTTGTGCTTGCCAGGCAGGCGCTGCACCACTGAGCTACATCCCTGGTCCCAGTTCATTCTTGATAGGCAGATGATACAGCACACTGGCTCTCTGTCTACATGTCCCCTGAAAGTAAGGCCACTGAACTCCAGCAAGACAACATAAGATCCAGATACTCACGTTGAGGGTGGCCTCATCATCCACAATGGAGAGCTTCACAATATACGGGTTCACAGACTGTTCAACGAGAGGAGAGTCTTTAAGAAACTCTTATTAGCTTTAAGAAACTCTCATTAGCTATTTAAGAAACTCTTATTAGCTATTTCAAAAAGTATTCATAAAAAAGCTTCTATAAGGCCTTCTTTTGGGGTCAGACAGTTGAGAGGACTCACTATGAGCCCAGGCTGGCCTCAAATTGGTGGCGATCCTCCTGCCTCAGCACCTCCCAAGTGTTGGGATGACAGGTGTGCACCACCACATCTGGCTGTGTAAGGCCTTCTTCTACAGTGATGTTCCTGATACGCAGCCACCTACCTTGCCTGCTGACTCCTCCCATTTCCAGTAAATCTCTCAGCACATATGAATATGTCAAGTACACATATGTGTATGCTTGTGTGCACATGCACGCACGCACACACATACATACACACCAGTTCTCTTCTACCTGCATTTTCCTCTAGGCTGAATTAGCTCAGGCATATGCTCACTACTACTCCCATCTTTCCATCTTACTTGTTTCTAAAAAGTAAGTGAACACACCACAAAACACTTTGTCCTACCCCACTGAATCTACAAGGGTAGCTGTCTTTTGGGGGATATAAAAGCTACTTTGCCATAAGGTGCATATTTATGAGTTGCTAACTTACATTCTCATCCCAAAGGCTCCCTAAGCATTTCACAAACTATATGCAAAGACTGGCTCACCCACCCGTAAAACAAAGCCACCTTGGGGGTGGGAAGTGGCAGCTGTTTAACAGCCAGAGAGGCCATTTATGGAGATCTGATACCCAAATAACACTACAGGGGGAGCTGAAAAAAGGATGTAATTACCCAAGCAACAATCTGGTCAGGACACTGGGATTTAATGATTGTTCCATCACTTTTAGCACTGGAAGATTTCTTGAGCTTTTCTAGACCCAATCTCAGCTGGGCAGCATATGGAAATGGACATATATTTAAACTCATTAAACAACTGGACCATCTCCTCCAAGTGGAACAGGAACCAACAACCCACCCACAGTATGTGAGATAGACCTCATACAGATCAGGCCTCAATTCTAACCCAAGGGAAGCAAGGAACAATAGTTCTCAGACTGGCAATTTTTATAGCTACCAAGAAAACTCATTACTAAGAAAGTTGAAAACCCAACTGAAAGACTAACCCCCCATGTAGACCTCATTTAATCACGTTTCTGAAGTTATCTTTCACATGTCACTTGGGAATACAGAAAGAGCTTTGCTTTCTTAACAGCCAAAATGTGGCATTTTACATAACACACATCAAAGATGTAGAACGCACTGACAGAGGGAAAGCTCTCCACATCTCTTCCTATTGCCAACACTCGAATTCTGCTGGTATCACAGACTTCAGGCAAGAGCCCATGCAATTGGACCCTTGGGAAAGAAAACCATCAGCTGGCTGCCCTACAGGTGCTGCTGCAAGGACAGCAATGTCAGAAAGGGCAGATCACTATTTTCTTGGCAGAATTCTTCCCAGTCCTAGTCACTTACCTTTCCAAAAGAGGACTGTATTAGGTAATAGTATGGATCATCTGATTATCAAGACCAGCATGTGCTTTAGCAGCAGTTAAGGTGGCTAAGAGCTAAGATTTGAGTTCTAGTTGTTAATTATAACAAGTTAGATACACTGGGCCAAGGATGTAGCTCAGTGGTTCCGCCACCTGCCTTGAAAGCGCAAGGACCCAAGTTTGATCCCCAGTACCAAAAACAAACAAACAAGTTAGATACATTAATTAACCTAAGCTTAAACTTCTTCATCTGTAAAATGGAGTATTTTCTATCTTGAGTTACTGTAAGCCTTAAATTAAGACAGAAAATACTCTCTTTTTTTGAGACAGTACTTCATGAGTTGTCCAGACTGATCTCATACTTGTGATCATCCTGCCTCAGCCTCCCAAGTAGCGGAAAATGCAGGTGTGCGCCACCACGCCCAGAAAGGTATGTTAAACCCTTAGCAGTGTCTAGTATATGGCTAGAGGGTAATACTCAGTGGCTATATTTTTTCCTCTTTAGCATTATTTCTATATTCAAAGGAAAGTCCTTTAGGGCGAAGACAAAAAGGGAAGAAAAAAAAGGAACAGTCTGCAAGCAGACATAAGAAACAATTTTGTTCCTAGCATAGTGATACACACCTGTAATCCTGGCACTCGGGGAGGCTGAGGTAGAAGAACTACAAATTCAAGCTCAGCCTGGGCAATTTATTGACTTAAAAAGACCCTGTCTCAATATAAAAATTAAAAGGGCTTGGAATGTAGCTCAGTGCAAAGGTCCTTGGTTCAATCCCCTGGTAAAATAAAAGAGACAGAGACAGAGTGGAGGAGAGAAAAGGAGAAGACAGGAGAGGAGAGGAAAAGAGAAGACAAAACACAATTGTGTAAGTTCTGGGAAACATTGTGCTAAGCGCAGGAGTTGGGGTTTGAGTCACTTCAAGAAACTTCCTCCCAGGATAGTGAGGCAGCCTAAAAGATGATGCTTTTATGCTGTAAAGCTTTCTATTCTCTGATGCTGGTTACCCTTATACACACACACACACACACACACACACACACCTATTAATCCAGTCATTTTTTTTTTCACACACAAGACAGACTTACAAACTCAGTGACCCTTTATAGGATCATTCTAATATTGTCCTCCTTGTCTATGGCCATACCACCCAATAAGCAGATCTTGTCCAAGGCCTCTTGCCTTGATTCAATCTTAAATTTCACCTACCATTTTCATTGTTCTCTAGATTTTGTTTCTCCACCCTATCTCTTTAGATGAAATGATCAAAACAAAATGCATTATTTGAAGTGGAAGAACTACACATGCACTGCACATGGTCTTTTCCATTACTTCGATTCCTTATGCCCAATGCTTCTTCACCTATCTGGGTACCTCACCTCTCTGATGCTCCACACCATTACAGAAGGATTACACTTATCCTGCAGGGCATGGTGCTGGTAGCTAGAACGCTATTCTCCCCAGCATAACCTCTGCTACCAGCTTACATAAAATTCCACCAGCTTTTGGTTTTACTATGTTCATGGAATTCTTCATGTTCCTGTCAAAAGATTTCCTGCTCCATGGTCACCAGGCTTTCTTAATGATTTCTGGTGAGTGACTCATATCAAATGCTGGCCAGTAGCTCAACCTTGCCTGCTATATTAATTCTTCTGGGAGCTTCTGACAGACCATAAATGCATACCTCACTCTAGCAATGGGATTTTCTCCAGCTTCTTGGCCACATCCAATTTTTCAGGCTGACACTTCAGAGAGCCCTATGGTTTACATTTACAGATACCAACCACTGCCTTGCAATGGCCTGCACCCAACTGTTCTGAAAACACTCATCACTGATGATGTACATTCCCATCACATAAAATCAACTCCATTTAAGTATGCTCAGCATTTTTCCTCAGCTATTTTTCTTACTGTTAGAATAAGGTCCAGAGGTTTTTTAACACATGACATAATACCTATCATGCCAGCCCCTCCAGATCACCAGTAAAACAGGGATTGGTGATAAATTACGTATTTATTAGTAGCTCTATGCCCCATTCATCTGCTCCTACAAGAAAATGAAAGTGATCATCAATCAGTCCCTGGGATATACAACACAGCTCCACATATTCCAATCCATTCTTAAATTTTCTTTCTCACAGCCTCCCCTTTCCATCTTCCATATTTCTCCTTATAAGAATATACTCCAGCTGAACACGGTGTGCACACCTTACTCCCGGCACTCAGGAGGCTGAGGAAGGATAGTCACAAGGCCAGCCTGGGATACACAGTGAGTTCAAGACAAGCCTGAACTACGTGGTAAAACCCTGTCTCAAAAGAAGAAAGGAAAGAAGGAAGGTAGGGGGAGAAATCCAGATTTTATGTTACCCATCACTTTGTTTTGCACCGAGAATCAAACTCAAGGGCTCCTACTTACAAGACATACTCTGCACTGCTGAGGTACATTCCTGGCCCTACTCATCACTTTCAACCTGTCCAAATAGTTTGACTATGAATGATATAAAAAAATCACTATGTGCCAGGAAGGTAGCCCATGCATAAGGCAAGAAAATCTCACGTTTGGGACATTAGAGAAAGACTGTCTCAAAATAAAAGTAAAACAGCCCATTTGCCCATTAGTTGGAGACTGGATAAAGAAGATATGGTTTTTCTATAAAATGGAATACTATTCAGCCATAAAGAATGAGAAAGTAGATTTATTCATAGGAAAATGGATACATATTGAGGATATACTCCTAAGTGAAATACATAAGTCACACGTGTAAATACCGAATAGTTTCTCTGGTGTGAAAAACTATAATATTACATAAGATCCTAATGATATATTTGACAGTGTGAAATAGGAAGAAAAGGGCTAAAGGTGTAGGGAAAGTGGGAAGGGTAGGGGAAAGGTAATAAGGGAAAAGAAAAAATATGAGAAAATGAAAAAATGTAAATAAAGTGTTTGTAAATGGGGAGGGTAAGGGGGGGTGAAGGGAGGGCAGGGACAAGGGGAAAAATGAGAACCAAGAGCTGCCATGTAAAGGTACAAGATCCCAATGATGAATGTAACTATACTGTACACCTAAAATGTACCAATAAACTCAATGAGAGGAAAAAAAATAAAAATAAAAGTTAAAAAGGGCTGGAGCTATAGTTTAGTGGTTGAGTACCCTTGGGGTCAATCCCCAGTACAGTTAAAAAACAAATCACTAAGTAAGCCCCTCAAGCCCAAGGACCCAAGTTCAGTCCCTGGTAGCAAAAAAGAAAAAAAATCACTAAGTAAAAGCAAGAAGGTCAGAAAAGAAAATTATCTCCAACTCTCACAGCATTGCTACTTTATAAGTGAAGAAAGTCAGGCTGCCTCAAGGCACCGCTGACTTTTGAAGTACTCTGAGTGTCTAGGACTCTATCAAATGCTTCCAACTCCTTAATATGTATGGTATGGTAGTACAAACCTGTACTCCCAGCACTCAGGCTGAGGCAGGAACATGAATTTACTACAGTCCCCA